AACATATAGGTATACATTCTTCTGAATCGCAAATGCAGACCATATGCTGGCATATAAAGCAGTTTCAACAGATTTCACAGGGTTGGTAGCATGCTACTAATGTTTTTAGCCACAAATAAGTCTGATATAAATAGTAAAAACAAATGGAATGTCTAAATGGCCAGAAAATTATAATTTATCAAAACAGATTGTAGAAGAAATAGAAGGTTAGTTTTAAAAACATTTTAAAAGTTATATGTTTTTTTTTTTTTTGGAGACAGAGTTTTGCTCTTGTTACCCAGGCTGGAGTGCAATGGCATGATCTCGGCTCACTGCAACCTCTGCCCCCTGGGTTCAGGCAATTCTCCTGCCTCAGCCTCCTGAGTAGCTGTGATTACAGGCATGCACCACCATGCCCAGCTAATTTTTTGTATTTTTAGTAGAGATGAGGTTTCACCATGTTGACCAGGATGGTCTTGATCTCTTGACCTCGTGATCCACCTGTCTCAGCCTCCCAAAGTGCTGGGATTACAGGCTTGAGCCACCGCGCCCGGCGATATATATATATATATATAAATAATTTTCAGTATTATTCTTGCTCACAAACCAGTATCTCTAATTCAGCCTTTAGAATAGGGAGTCATAAATACCTTTAAGTTTCATTACAGTTAGTATTCTATGGAAAGAACGATCAGCACTATGAAAGGGAATACCGACAAGACATCATGAGAGCCTAGAGGAATTACATCCCTGAAGATTATGTCATTGCTACAGAAGAAGTCGTGAAAGCCATCAGCCCTGAAACAGTCAATTCCTGCTGGAGAAAACTGTGTTTAGATGTTGTGCATGATGTCATAGGATTGATGACAGAGAAAATCAAGGAAATTAGGAAAGAGGATGTGAATATAGCAAAAAAAAAAAAAAAAAAAAAAGGTGGGTGTTGATGGGTTTAAAGATACGGATCTTAGAGAACATGAAGCGCTGATAGATACCACATCAGAGGAATAAACAGAAGACAGTTTCATGGAAATCAGTCCTACTGAACCAGTGCCAGATGGTGAGGATGCAGGCATAAAAGAATCAGTGCCAGGAGACAGACTGACATCAGTCAATCTGGCAGAAGGGTTCTGATTATTTGTGGATTATTTCCAATATTTTATGACATGTACCATTCAGCAAATGGTGGGAGAAGGATCGGTATTGTATGAAAACATTTTTAGAGAAATGAAAACACAAAAACATCAGACAGAAATTACAATGTATTTCTGTAAATTTACACTCTGGGTGCCTGCCTCTTCTGCCTTCCCTTCCACCTCCTCTCCGCTTAGCCCACCTCTGCCACCCCTGAGACAACAAGACCAACCCCTCCTTGATGGGAAGGATGAAAAGTTCTATGACTACCTAATTCCACTCAATGAATCGTAGATATATTTTCTCTTTCTTATGATTTTCTTAATAACACTTCCCTACAGTATATCACACATATAACCTATAAAATAGATATTCAGAGACTGTTTATGTTATCAGTAAGACTTCTGATCAACAGCAAACTCTTGGTAGTTAACTCTTTGGTGCATCAAAATCTATATGCAAAATTTCAATATCCAGAGAGTCAGCGCCGCTAACCCCTGCATTGTTCATGGGTTCATTGTGTTTGTATTGTAGAAGTTTTTTATAGTTTTGTAGTGATGTAGTATTATAGTTTTAATCTTTATTTCCCTAATAGGTGATGATGTCAAACACCTTTTCATGTGTTCGTTTTCCATTTGTATATCCTATTCCCTAAAATGTCTCTTTGTGTCTTCTGTTCATATTCTAATTAGATTATTTTTATTGTTGAGTTTTGCAAATTTTGTTTTTCTTTTCTAGATACCAATCATTTGTTAGATATGTTGTTTGCATGTGCTTTGTGGCTTTTCATCTCCCACCTTTACTAGGTTTTTCACAGATAATTTTTGGAAATATTGATGGAGTGCAATTTGTTCATTTTTTGTTTTTATGGATTATGCTTTTGGTACAGTCTTAAAAATTCTCATCTAGCCCTAAATCCCAAAGATATTTTCATTCTTTTCCTAAAAGTTTTATATTTTACATTTAAGCTTGTGATTTAACTTGTGTTGATTCTTGGGTACAGTCAAAGTTCTTAAGTTGAAGTTCTCTTTCTTTTTCTTTCTCTCTTCCCTCTTCTCCTTCTATCCTTCCTTCCTTTTTTCTTCCTTCTTTTCCTCTCCCCAGCCTCCTTTCTCCCCTACCTTCCCTATTTCTTTTTTCCTCTTTTCTTTTCCCTTCTCTTCCCTTCCCTCTCCTCCCCTCCCCTCCCTTCCCTTCCCCCACTTCATTCCCTTCCCTCCCCTCCCCTTCCCTTCTCTCCCCTCCCTTCACTTTTTTCCCCTTCCCTCCCCACCCCTCCCCTTCCCTTCCCTTCCCTTTCTTTCCTTCCTGTTTTTTCCTACAGATGTCCAGCTGCTCCAGTTGCATGTATTGGAAAGGCCATCTTTCCTCCATTAAATGGCCTCTGTATCTTTATTAAAAAATCAGTTGTCAATATTTGTATAGGCCTATTTCTGTGTTCTATATTTTGTTCTATTGATTTATGTTTATATCCTCCTCTCAAGATCACATAACTTTAGAAGTCTGAAAAAGCAAGTAAACAGATTCTTCCAAATTTTCTTTGTCATGATCATTTATATCTATTTTAGTTCCTTTGTCTTTCCATATAAATTTTAGTATAACATTATCTATAAGAAATCATGTGGACTTCAAAAACAATTGTGCTAAACATTTTTCCATTTAGAGAAAAGTAAAATCTTTATTATTTTGACTCTTTCAATCCATAAATGTAATATGTCTCTGCATTTATTTATATCTTCTTCGATTTCTTTGATCTGTGTTTTATAGTTTTCATCATATAAGTCCTATCTATGTTGTTGACAACTACTGGATATTTTTAGATATTGAAGATAGTTTTTTATTGTAAATTTTGACTTCCACAGCATCATTGCTAACATATAAAAATAAAAATAATTTGTATTTTTATTGTTATCTTGTGACTTAGCTGAACTTACATATTATTTTAAGGATTTTTTTGGTAGATTCCTTTCAATTTTCTAGGTAGGCAGTCTTGTCACCTACAAATACAGTTTTACTTGTTATATTCCAGTCTGTGTGCCTTTTATTTTCTTTGCTTACATTATTATCCTCACTATAATTTTCAGAGATGTGTTGAGAATGACAAGAGTGCACATCCTTGTCTTTTTCCTTAACTTAGGAGGAAACTTTCACTTTTTGGAAGTGTTTTACTCGTCCTCAAACACAAACAACTTCGTAGATGAATAAATTTGACAACATTAAAATTTAGAAGTGCTGTTCATCCAAAAGCACTATAAATAAAGTAAAGAGTCAAAACACAAACTGGAAACAAATACTACTCTATAACTGGAAAACACTTAATAAATAAACAATGGTTGGTATCAGTCAAATCAACTAACTGGAAAGCAAGCAACCCAAGAGGAAAAACATAAATAAGCACTTCATTAAAGAGGAAAACTAAAAGATGAGTAAAAAATGCAAACCAAACCAAACAACATAACACCCCCAATCTTAACAGTAATAAGGATAAAGCAAAATATAAATAATTAATTCTTCACTCATGAGTCCTGTAAAATTTTAAAAGTTGGCTAATACCAAGTATTTCTAAAATACAGCACACATGGCACATACATTGAAAGTGCGTATATCCGTTGTTTCAACCACTATGGAAAATAATTTGGAATGTTTTAGTATAGTAGGTTTGTTGTTCTGAGAAATAAATGCAGAGATTAAAAAATAGGAGTGGAAGTGCAGTAGAACAGAGAGGCAGCTCTCATCCTGCAACAGAGACAGGACAAAATCTCTGCCAGTGCAACAGAATCAAGGATTGCCCATTAAAAGTGTTGCTGTTGGCAGAAATGTCTGGGACCTTTTCTGTACTTCTTGCTCAGTTGTTATCCAGCAGCCCCTCTGAGAAAACCTTAAAGACTAGAACAGAGGTTGAAGAAACACTGTTAGTGAATCATATAACTCAAAGTGGGATAGAAAGTCTTTTCTCAAGGAGAATCTGAGTAGTCCTCTCCATGTTGGCCACATCTAGGAAAGTGGATGATGTGTATATTCTATGACTCAAGAACTTTGCTTCCAAGATATACAGTTGAGTACTCCTTGTCTGAAATGCTGAGAAGTGTTTTAGATTTCAGATTTTTTTAAATTTTGGAATATTTGCATATACACAATAAGATATCTTGGGGATGGGACCCAGGTCTAAACACAACATTCATTTATGTTTCATATATTCCTTATACACATAGCCAAAGGTAATTTCATACAACACTTTAAATGATTTTATGCATGAAACAAAATTTGTGTTGAGTATTTATGTGTGGAATTTTCCACTTGTGTTGCCATGTCAGCACTTGAAAAGATTTGAGCTTTGTAGCAATTTGAATTTCAGATTTTTAGATCAAAGATGGTCAATCTGCATATTTTAGAAACACATTTGCACATGTGCATTAGGAACAAGTTCTTGGCAGTATCATTTTAACTCCAAAATGTTGGAAACTGAATATTTGTGGGTACTGAAAATACACACAAATAATAGAATAGATTGATAAATTGTGTTATACTGAAACATTGCTGTTGGACATTAGTAAAAATAAGTCTCACGGCTAGACAAACTGTCATATACAAGCATGAACTGGTATCCAGAACATAATATTTAAATAATGTTTCTGAAGACTGCACACAGTTTTGTTCAATTTATGTAAAGCTCAAACACCTGCAAAACTAAACAGGATAAACTCTATAGATACAATTAGGTTAAAAAAATATGACGAGGCTGGGCTCTGTGGCTCTTGCCTATAACCCCAACACTTTGGGAGGCTGAGGTGGGTGGACCACTTGAGGCCGGGAATTGCAGATCAGTCTAGCCAACACGGCAAAATCTTGTCTCTACTAAAAATATAAAAGCTAGCCAGGCATGCTGTGACACACCAGTAATCCCAGCTGAGGCATGAGAATTGCTTGAACCCAGGAGGCGGAGTTTGCAGTGAGCTGAGATCATACAACTGCACTTCAACTTGGGCGACAGAGCAAGACTCTGTGTCAAAAAAAAAAAAACCCTTAAAAAACAAAGCAAAAAAAGCCCAAACCAAAGCAAACCAAAAACAAAACAAAACAAAAACCCAACTATGATGATAAACAAGTAAAACAGCAACCACACAAAACCTTTGTGGAGAAGAGAGAAAAGGGGATAAAGGAAGACCACATAGAGAATTTCAAAGGTAAGTCCACATTATAATGTCTTCACCTAAAGGATAGGTACGTGGGGTTTTGTTGTTTATGTACTGGTTTTATTTATGTTTTAAACACATTTAAAAAAATATTATTTTACATTAATGCCACATTTAATCAAAGCAATTAAATGAAATGTCTCAATGGTATTGCTCTAACTGAAGAAGCTGGACTTAACTATGACTGTTTTTAAATTAATGTAGTTGGACATCTAAATAGTTGGGCAATTTCACAGCTACATGAGTCTTTATGTCTGTATCTATGTAAAAATGGGTACAGATGCAAAGGAGTAAAATACGCTGTACATGTCAGGATGCCTGCACTACACAAGCCGCTTTTAAAAATAACCTCTCACCCATACCTTGTTCTGGGAAGCTGGTGTTTGTTTGTTTGGCTTTTGTTTCATTTTTAAATGTAACCACATGGTTCTCCCTTCATTTCAGTGATTAATGAGGAGGGTTTTTTTTTTTTTTTGTCTTTGTGTCATGTCAAAGTAGCCTGTTCAAGGGCTAGCTAGTGGTACATGGCCATTAGCTGCTATAAAAAGATATATTCTTTCAGTGACCTGATTTTCTGGAAGACGCATAAAGGCCACGGCCATTGGCAGCAGCATGTGGAGGACGAAGGGCTAGAAGAAGCCAAAAAATTTTATCAGACAAGATCAGCTAGAGAGACCAAGTGACACAACAGTATTGAGATAGCGACATCTACAACTCAGTAGAGGAATTAATAAGTGAGGCAATGGGAATAAACTCAGAGAAACAGCAATCATAGTAAAAACAACGTGAGCTGTCACGAGAAAGTAGGAAAGTGTGTTTTATCACCGAGTGCAGAGGAACAGTCCTTGGGGCGGCCTTGCTGCCTGAGAATTTTTCAGTCCACATTAATTCCTCTTCTCCTTGGAATGACTCCAGTGGGACACTGTTCCCTGCAGAGAAAAAAAAAAAGCCAGATTAAAGTAAAAGATAAAGTTATGCATAGAATGTAATTTTGTATTACTTTTACTGACAATTCATTTTATTTTGTCTTTTACCTCCTAATTTTCCCTTCTTTTTTTTTTTTTTTTTAAATGTGAAGTTGTGTTTTCTTACTGTGTTTAAGGTCTTCTTGTAAGCCACCTGTAACCATTCAGCATATTATTTTGTACAAAAATAAACTTCCTTAGGCAGAATAAAAGAGTAACAAACTCTCTACAAACAGTCTGGAAACTCACCAATAATTACTTATTGGAAGTAATGCAAAAAAAGTTTTGATGGCACATTTGAACAAGGGAGTCCTATGAAGGAAACACACAGAGAAGAGGAACATCTGTTGTGTGTCTCCCTCAGGAAGATGAAAGCAGGGGACAAATGTGGCTTTCCTTTTCTGTTTGGTGGGAATAAGAAACTATAGACAAAGAGCCATAAAAGTGTACAACATTCTTAGATTTTTTATTCAGAATTTTCTATTTTCCCAAAGAGATTTGGGGCAAAAACCATAAAGTTAAAAAGCCTACAATTTTGTTTGGGAATAGTAAGGAAAGGTACTGCAGTTTGATGGTGACAATGCTTTGTGAAATGCAACCATTTACCCAGGTAGGTTTTGGGAGAAATGGATGATCTCACCTCTTGAGAAATAAAATTAATACATTTTCATCCACTCCTCCATTTTGGAGGCTAATTCTAAGAAAGAGAGAAGAAGACAACTTTGAGTCCTGAAGTGATATTGTGCTTTGTAACGCCACATTAGGAGGGGTTCCCACAGACAGACACAGGCAGAGGCTTTTGTTTTTTCTTTCCCTAATGGTAAGAAAGGAAGCTTTTCTATACTTTTTAGTCTTTGGCAACACACCCAGGAGGCTGGTCTTTGAACTCCTCCACATCCATTCCCACAGATACTAAATTTATCTAGAGCAGACTTTGGCTCCAAACTCAGAACAGATGGAGAGAGACATGCTGTCTAAGAAAAGCAGAAATGACAAAATTGCATTCCGGTTTGAATGTTCTTCATTAAGAGTGTTTATTGTGTTAATGCTGTGACTACATCATCCTACTCCAAGGGTAAGTGGCCACTGGTCTGAATATGGCCGGAATAGATGAGCAATATGATTTTAATTATTTTCTTTTGATGAGCCAACAATAAAGTAAAGGATAAAATGGAGAGGAAAATAAGACAGGGAAAGAAAGATTGGTCTCTCCCTAGAGAGTCATGCTCCTTAGGTCTAGGGAGTGGCAGGCACTGGTCTAGAGAAGTGCATGTGGAAATCTGCATTTTATTTAAACTTAGGTCAGTCTTATTAGCAGACAAATGGGAAGAACCTTGCCCAAATTCTTTTTCCTTCCTGTGAGTGCATGGAGACTAAAACACAAAACATACCAAAAGTCACATGGAGAACAGGAAAAATAAATGGACCTGTATTAAATTGTTTAAACTTTGTAAGAGAAATTGTAAGTTTTCAAGGATGTAGCTCTGAGAGTTCTAGGTTAGATTGGAGTTTATTTCTGCAATGAAAACTGAACAGTGATAAATTCAATTGGTGGATCAATTCTGACGAACTCCAGGATGTACCCTAGACCTTCGTGAATGAGTAGGTTTCTTGACTGCCAGAATAGATTCCAAATATCCAGAGTATCCTGCACTTTCTCTGACATTCCTTCTCAGTATTTGTGGAAATTGTATACTGAGCTAGTAAAAATTAAGAACCTATTTTTCATTAGCATTACGGCCAATTAAAATGTAATTCTGATTTCCTATATTTTGCATTATGCATTGAATCTTTTACACCATGTGATGGGAGTAGCTACAGCCAATTCAGTTCTTAAGTCAGTGAGTGTTTTTAAAATTTGAATGGGATACTATTTACCTGGGGCAACTCTATAGAATTCTGATTTAATTCACTAAATCTGGGCTGGGATTCTGAATGTCTATTAAGCTCCAGTTTATGGTATTGTTGCTGGTTCCAAAACCATACTTCAAGCAGCAGGGGTACAGGTGACAAAAAGATGCACTTCTTGTATCAAATAGCTCCCTAATGAATTCCTATACACTTATACATTTTTATTAATTACTTTTGGAGAACATTTAAAGAAATTAAAATTCTTAAGTCAAAGGAGAAATACTGGATGTAATACCTGTACTATATTTTAATTTTTATTGTAAATATGACAATGGTATATCAGAAGAAAACTCAGGAAGAAACCAAGTACACGTACAAATAAAATTATTTTTGTGCATAAATATGTAACTTTTTTAAATTTACTGTTAATCATTTAATTCAGTCTCAATAGTCTTTTTCTCAGACATCAACTTATTTAAGAAGCTGTAACAGAGTTCCTGTACTATTTTGGCACTCATTAAATATTTGCTAAATGAAGGAATAAGTGAGGATTGTGTTTAGAAGTTTTACGCTTTATGGCAATTATATATCATAATTAATTATTATTTTTTAATTGTAGTTTAGTTCCTGGGGTACATGTGCAGGTCATGCAGGTTTGTTGCATAGGTACATACATAACTAGGTGGTTTGCTGCCTCCATTCTCCCTTCATCTGTATCCAGCATTTCTCCCCATGTTATCCCTCCCCACCCTCCCCACTCCCTGCTGTCCCTCCCCTAGCTCCACCACCAAGAGCCTCCAGTGTGTGATGCTCCTCTCCCTGAGTCTATGTGTTCTCATCGTTCAACACCTGCCTATGAGTGAGAACACACTGTGTTTGGTTTTCTGTTCTTGTGTCAGTTTGCTGAGAGTTATGGTTTCCAGATTCATTCAAGTCCCTACAAAGGACATGAAGTCATCGTTTTTTATGGCTATGTAGTATTCCATGGTGTATATGTGCCACATTTTCTTTGCCCAGTCTATCATTGACGGGCATTTGGGTTGGTTCCAGGTCTTTGCTATTGTACACAGTGTCAAAATAAACATATATGTGCATGTGTCTCTATAATAGAACCATTTATAATCCTTTGGGTATATACCCAGTAATGGGATTGCTGGGTCAATTGGAATTTCTACTTCTAGATCCTTGAGGAATTGTCACACTGTCTTCCACAGTGGATGAACTAATTTACACTCCCACCAGCAGTGTAAAAGTGTTCCTATTTCTCCACATCCTCTCCAGCATCTGTTGTCTCCAGATTTTTTAATGATCGCCATTCTAACTGGCATGAGATGATACCTCAATGTGGCTTTGATTTGTGTTCCTCTAATGACCCGTGAAGATGAGCATTTTTTTTATATGTTTGTTGGCCTCATATATGTCTAAGAAAAATCCTAAAATTTGAGAGATGGAAGGAGGAGAAGCAGAGAGATATTGAAAAAAGAGGATTCAGTAATAGATTATATGGTTTAGTTTTGTGTCTCTGCTCAAATCTCACCCTGAATTGTAGTTCTTATAATCCGCATGTGTTGTTGGAGGGACCTACTGGGAGGCAATTGAATCATGGGGGTGGTTTTCCCCATACAATTCTCATGATACTGAGTGAGTTTTCACTCCATCTGATGGTTTTATCAGGGGATTCCCCCTTCACTCGGCTCTCATTCTTCTCCTTCTTGCTGCCACATGAAGAAGGATGTGCTTGCTTCCCCTTCCAAAATATCTGTAAGTTTCCTGGGGCCTCCCCAGCCCTGCAGAACTGTGAGTCACTTAAACCTCTTTCCTTTATAAATTACCCAGTCTCAGGTGTGTTTTATTTAGAAGCATAAGAAGAGACTAATATCATAGTGTCCATCAGTTGTGGGTTAGGTTAATAACATGGCAGCAAAAGTGTCAAGGTGAGACATCACAGAATACAAAGATAAATTATGTGATGTAAGAAATTTAATTTAATGCAATTTCTTTATTTAAATTTGAGATAAACTATGCTTACTTTAAAATGTTACCCAATGCAGCCCTACATTTTTCCCTCTTCAAGAAAGAAAATCTTAAACAAAATCCCTATTACACCTGCCCATCACAAGTCAACTACAGCTGCTCTCATTCCCGGTCCCTCATGTTGCCATTATGAGTGCACGCACAAGTGCTTGAATACAAATATCCTCTATCTCAAAGTCAACCTCTCTTGTCTTCCAGATTTCAGAGAATATGTCCCATTTTCTCTACCTCCTAAAGCTTCTTGACCACAATGTGCTGCTTAATTTTAGTTCTAATGTCAAGATTTATCCCTACACTGACCATATTAATTATTAGTTGTCTCATCAGTAAAGTGTGTGTGTTAATAAGATAATTTATGTGTTAAATAAAAGACAGCTGATTGAAAGCTAGACAACTCAGGCTCTCCTCTCTGCTTTTTCATTATTCCTGTGTGTTTCCTTACGGAAGCCACATAATATTTCTTGGTTTCAGAATGGAAGTGGGCCATCAATCTCTCTGAACCTGCATCTCTAAATTTGAGCTCCTTGTAGATTTTTTAATAAATTCACCTTGGTAAAGTAACCAAAGTAACATTACTACAGAGTGAAAGTCACAGACATTTGACATCTCTAATTTCTGTTAAAAAAATCTTTACAGGCCTCTTTCACAGTGCTAACATATACATGACACAATCAAAGTTTGAAGATAATGTCCTTGAAAAGAGTGACTGTTTCTATAAAAAGAAATCTGACTTTATATCATGTTTTATCACATTTTTTAAAAACTATGAGTGATATGCAGGATGTATTTTATTAAATTCTTGGGAACTTTGAAATAAATATTAAGACAGAGGTAAATTTTATTGTATATAGGTTTTAACATTTTCTACAATAGATATATCTTTAAAATAATCTTAATATTCTATGAGAAATATATCTAATATGCCTATATTTGTTTGACATTTGTTTTAATATAAATACCAAAGTCTTTAAGAAAAAATTCAAACTTAAATTATGTTCTTTTATGGTTTTTCAAACTTTGGCTGCAAATTTATTATGTAAGAGTAAATTCTAGTCACATGTACAGTTTAGAAGGATGGACAAATGTAAAACAAGAGGAACTAGAATTAGATTTCATCATGGATTTTGGTTTGTTTGGAGTGATAGCAGATATATGCACAGAGGGAGTCAATGTCAGTTGAATACAGAAAATCCTAGGTCAGGCTCACGTTTTTTAAGATAGGGTCTCACTCTGTCACCCAGGCTGGAGTGCATTGTCACAATCATAGGTCACTGCAGCCTCAAACTGCTGACCAGGCTCATTAATATGTTACCTTTGGGAATGGAAGAAGAAAAAATGTGGATTTTTTTTGAACCTCATTTAAGAAGTATTTGGCAACCTTTCTTTCAGAGGAAACTTTGATTATTTATTTTAATATTTTAATACTTTACAGTTTATATATTATTCATCTTTTTTTCCAATGATTCTGAAATATTGGGAGCTTTCTAAAGGATTTGTATGTTTTGAATCACTTCAATCTTAAAAAAAAGGTCAGAAGAAAATTTGGGTTTAATGTGTAACAGTTAAATATATGATAGTGCAATTAGCGCATGTGGAATTATATGTGTATGTGCATTAATTTATTTATATTTATTTCTCTGATTATAAAAGCAAATGTAAATTCAGTACAATTTTCAAGTACCTCTATGAAGGCCATATTTTTGCCACTTAGCAAAGGTAGCTATATAAACTCTGGGAAAAAAATCCCAGAGCCCTCAAATACTGTGAAGTAAAATTGAAGTAACCTCACATTTAACTAGAGTTGCCTTGAATGATCTTTGAGTCTTCATATATTTGAAGATGACACTAAGAAGGACCTATTTCTTTAATGATTTTCTTGAGAATTATTATCACTGGTTAGTGTAAAACAATCTCAGATTTTTGAAATATATATTATAAAAGATTCTCATAGCAATATATCAATTGAAGGAATAATTGACCTTAAATAAATCTGAATGACAAGTCACTTTAATGCAAAAATTACAGTCTAATTTGTAAATACATTATGGAAATAAAATTAATCCCAGTTAATGTTAACTTACTGAATATGTCATTAGTAATCATAACATTTTTTATGTATTATTTAAAAAATATCATTAGTGCATAACTAAATTAATAAAGTTGTTTCAAAGAGTCTCTATAAAAATTATCAAAGGAAATTAGTGAGATAATACAACACACTATTTTGTCAAAAGCTGTTTATACTACTTGGGAGGCTGAGGCAGAGAGATAGTTTGAGGCCAGGAATTTGAGATCAGCCTGGGAAGCATAGTGAGACCTCATCTCTACAAAAACTTAAAAAGCTTTGGTGAGGCATAGTTACCCATGCCTGTATGGCTACATGAAAGGTTAAGATGGGAGGATCACTTGAGCACAAGAGTTCCAGGCTGCAGTGAGCTACGATCATGCCACTGCACTCCAGCTCCGGAAACAGAACAAGACTCCATCTCTCAAAAAAAAAACCAAAAAAAAAAAAAAAATTTATAAAACTGATGCAATATGTGATTTCTACTAATTGATACCTTCTGAAACATGAGAAATAACTACTGTTAAAATTTACCACTAATCTAAAATATTAGAACTTTTATAATTATCAACATATTAGTGATATTCCAACATTACACATTTTATTTTTCCATTGTAGTGAAACCTCTTCACAATTATTTGTCGAAATTCAATGCAACTCATAATACTTATGGCAGATTATTAAAACTTATGCAACTCAAGCACATTTCTCTGTAGTTCCTACTGATTTTTAATGCCAAGTGCTTTGATTTTGTTCAACAAATTGGGGCCCAGTTTCGCTTTGGAGATTTATTTCAAGAAGCTCCACTGAGCCCCAGAAATTTAGCTATTTACTACCTAACTTAGTTGACTGTTTTTGATGCCTGGCCTTTAGCAAAAATTTAACAACAGTTATCTTGTTCTTATCTTGTAATTAATTATACAAGGGAGTCTAGAAGTTCCTGCATCGTGGAGGTAATTAAAAATATTCTGAAAATCAAGATTAACAAGATTTGCAAGGGCATAAAGTGGATTATCTAAACGATCTACTTGAACATTTCAAGAATAAATGAGAACTTTAATTGGTGTTTGTAAAGACTTTTGCCATCCGTTTGACTAAAACCCATTCTGCTTCTACTTTCATCTTTTTTGTGTTTGTTTCACCTTTAGGATGATAAAAAGAAAACTTTAGTAATGGATTTTGCTTTATCAAAATTTAAATTCAAAGTTTCTTTTGTATTTAATTAATCTACATATGGAAAATGGAAAAATTTTTCAGAGTGCAATGATGATTAAATTCCCATTGTGTTTGTACCCTGGTGTCATGGATATTTTGATTATGAAAATTAAATCATATAACTTTTTATCTCTTATTCTGTTTCAAAGGCAGGAAGAAAAATAGTGCAAACATAAGGTCTTTTACAATGAACATGTTACACTTCTTTTGGACGTTTGATTTATATAATAATCGACTGTATCTAAGAGAAATGTTGATTTTTCTTTTTTTTTCCCTAGAAGAGAAGAATTTCCCAAGGGGAGAAAAGACAAGAAACCAGACTTCCCTTTCAAAGAGTTAGCTTCACACAGACTAGAGTCATGGAGAAATGGGATTGAAAATGAAACGGTGGGAATTGGAATTCCTAAATTTCAACATTACTTACCTTTTTTGGGAAGGGCACACTGTGGGGTGCAGAATGACTGGTGTTCCAAAATTCTAACCCCACTCGGTAGAGGTGGCTTCTTGCTGGTGGATTCCGGGTTCTCAGATCAGATAATACCCTGGAAGTCCAACTTCTCTCCCCAGACAGTGTCAACTTTGTATCCACACATCATTTAGGGACTGTTTGATTATATTGAGTTAGTATGACATTAATAATAAGCTGTTGAAAAGAATTAAGAAGTAGAATCAAAAGATTTCTTTATTTCTTATTCTAAATATATGATTCTATCCAAAGATTTGTGTATCTTACTGATATCTAATTCCATGTAAACTAGGAATGGGTGCATTTCATTTCATGATTCAAGTAATATTTTTAGTGATACTATCTCATATAGAGCACACTATGGAGCTGGGTGCAGTGGCTCACACCTGTAATCCCAGTACTTTGGGAGAATGAGGCAGGTAGATCACAAGGTCAGAAGAATGAGACCAGCCTGGCCAAAATGGTGAAACTCCATCTCTACTGAAAAAAATTAGCCAGGCGTGGTCATGTGTGCCTGTAATCCCAGCTGCTTGGGAGGCTGAGGCAGGAGACTCACTTGAACCTGGGAGGCAGAGATTGCAGTGAGTGGAGATTGTGCCACTGCACTACAATCTGGGTGACAGAGCTGTCTCGAAAAAAAAAAAAAGCAGCACACTATGTTTAATTCATGCTAAGTTGTAACTGATCAATGTCAAATCCTTTCTTTATAGCATCTTTGACAAAAGGGAAGGGAAAGAGCAAGGGAGCAAGGCTGCTCTTTCTGGGAAGACGAGGAATAGGAAAACATTGCCTAAGTGTTTTACTGAACAGAACTTCTGCCCCTGCATAACTAAAATGTGACAACACCCTTTCAGATGGTCTCTGCTTCACTACAAACCACCTGGATACTCTACTCACTATCCTAAATGCATTTAACATCACAACACATTAGCAAGTAATGATGTTTTAATGAGATTTTATATAGGAAGAGAATAGGAATATTTCACTATGTACCCAAGTGAAAACATAATATGCTTCCTCCAGATTATGGTGGTTTTTTGTTTCAAGTTCACTAGCCATCTCATTTCTCCTTCTTCCTCCCTCATGTGTAATCTAAAATTGTTTTTCTGGTTCTGAATAATTCTGCTCTGATCTCACCTTATATTCTCCAATGAAGTGATAGACAGGCTCATCAATTGTCACTTCATCTGGGAGCATCAACGGTCACTTAAGAGTGGCTATTGGATCTCTGATATCCTACTCTAGATGGCTTATCAAAATTTCTGTTTAACAGAAATAGCTTCTTCCTGTGTGGGGACTTAAATTGGCTTAGAGAAAGTGATTGCTAAGGAAAAAGTTTCATGTACTTTTCTATGTATGTTTGCATATGTGTGTGTATGTGTGTATATACACACAAGTGATAAAGGTTTAACAATAGATATATGCGTGTGTGTGTATGTATATGTAGATATGAATATACACATACATATATGTGTACATATAGCCACACACACATACACATATATGTATATAGTTCTACACACATATACACGTATATGTATATAGTTCTACACACATATATATCTTTATTGTTAAACCTTCATCACTTTCTTTCCCAGTCTGATAAGCAGGACTGGACAAACTTAAAGAAAATCCTTAGGGCCTCTTTATCTTATTTCCATTACCATAGTATGAATATATAACAACTGTATTAGTTCGTTCTGACATTGCTATAAAGAACTACCTGAGACTGGGTAATTCGTGATGAAAAGAGGTTTACTTCACTCATAGCTTTACAAGGCTGAAGAAGCCTTAGGAAACTTGTGATCATGGTGGATGGCAAAGAGGAAGCAGGTACATATTCACATGATGATGGGGGAGAGAGAGAGCAAAGGGGGAAGTGCTACACGCTTTCAAACCACAAGAACTGGTGATAACTCACATCACCATAACAACAGGGGTCATTCGCTCCCACAACTAGTCACCTCCCACCAGGTATCTCCCCCAACATTGGGGATTACAATCTAACATGAGATTTGAGTGGGGACACAGGGCCAAAGCATATCAGCAACTGACCTTCTTTCTCCTTCTTCAAATTGTACCCACGCATTTGCTAAATGAAAGGAACTGACTAAATTCAAAGTCCCAAAATGTCCCTCATACCATGTCCTTTGGCTCTCCATGATTTTTACTTCCTTTACCCTTCACTCATGGTGTCATCTTGAGTTCAAAAATGACACATTTTAAAATGATGAGGAGCAGAAGGAAAGAGATCTGTGTTCCTCCATCAGTGGAGCAGAACGGCATTATATGTCCTCCTTATCTTTTTTGTCAGTGTTTAAATATGGTAGATTTTTGTGGGCACAGAGGCTCACATCTATAATCTCAGCACTTTGGGAGGCCAAGCTGAGTGGGTCACTTGAGGACGGGAGTTTGAGACCAGCCTGGCAAACATGGTGAAATCCCATCTCTTCTAAAAATACAAAAATTAGCTGGGCGTGCTGATGCATGCCTGTAATCCCAGCTACTTAGGAGGCTGAGTCATGAGAATCACTTGAGCCTGCAAGGTGGAGTTTGCAGTGAGCTGAGATCACACTACTGCACTTCCGCCTGGGTAACAGAGTGAGACTTTCTAAATAAATAAGTAAATTCAGTAGATTGAAGTTCAGAAGTATCAGTTTTTCCTGATGGTGATAGTTCTCTTTAAGGCACAGAATACACAGATTTTGCTTTTGTTTTAATTATTTTTTAATTTTTAGTCATTTGGAAATATATTGATGCTACACAGTAACATTACAGAAAAAAAAAATAGTCACCAAAAGACTCCAGAATGTCTTAAATGTGTTTACCATATCTTTAATTTTAATTTTCTATGATATTTCCACTTCTGGAACTTATTCTTTTTTTAGGGTATTCAAAATGTAAATGCAGGGGCACATTGTATTAAGGCAAGTTTTTACCTGATGTCTGTTTTTCTTGGGTAACACTTAAACCACCAATCAAATAAACGAAAATGCTATTTAATACCTAGTTGACTACATCCAGTTCTGTCCCTAAGGAAATGGGATAATTTCTTGGTCTATTAAATTTTTTAGAGTTCAAAATTGTCTTTTTTAAAAGATGTTTTAGTGTTACATTAGGTTATCGTAGGTTACAATGCAGCAAGATATAAGGACAGTTACTCAGTTGAAACATTTATTTTTGTCAGTTGCTCTTGTGAGCTGGTGTTTGATTTCAAGAAAACAAGGAGTGCATATCAATGACGGCCATTCTCCAGGTGCTGCTTCACGGTGAAAGTGACACCAAACTGAAGGGTAATTTGAAAGGGTTGGGAAGTCTCCAGCTAGTTATTTTTTCAGGCCAGTTTACTGTGACTCATCACATTTCTCTTAAATAAGCCACACTTACCAGCGAAGTACAACTTCCGTTGTATCCACATCACATTCCACTTCTACTGAGGATATCTTTCGATATTTTCTCATCACACTGTTCAGCAAATCACTACAATGTGACACAAAAATTAATATACCCTTTGCATTTTCCATTCATGTTTCTTTTTGTTGACATTGTTCTTTTTAAAGTGACATCTTTTCTAAAAATACGAAAGCATTTTAAATGAAGAATAAAAATATTTTTATTAATTTTTAAGAAAGTTCCCTCAGCTTGAGTTTCACTATCAAAAAGTAAAACCCTCAGCAGTTTCTTGTATATCCTTCCAGAAAACTTGCATAAACACATCTATATTACACATATTGATTGTACCTTGTTTTCTGTTTTACTTCATTTTCATTACAGCCCTACTTTCTTTTGTTTTTACTTCTATATCTCTATTAATCTATGCCTTCAAAGAGCTACATTAAAAAAAAAGATTCCCTATGAATAATATTTCTAGTTTCTGTAGGCTTCCCAAATAATGCACGTTGAATAAATCATTTGTTACTTAGATATTAAATATCGTGGTCAATTGTTTCAGTAAGAAGACAGTTGAGGTATTTTATTTTATGTATTGATTTCATGAGAAAATATACATAATGTTAAAATATGCTTAACGTTATTTTAAACATTTACTAGTTTTTAAGTATTTTTATGTTGCAAAACTGCTTTTCTTCTTTTTTGGCTGATTTACAAATAATTATTTTTATTTAAATCTAAATGAATATTTTTGTGACAATAAATGTTAAGTCTTTTCCCAAAAGAATGCTTTACCTTTTCTTTTGTCTAAATGTTATGACCTTCAAAGATTCATTGTGTTTTAAAAATATCTTTTCATTTTGTTGCTAATGTGATTAAAACACTTATTTCTATGTTATAGTATATGTGTGTGTGTGTGTGTGTATATATATGTACATATATATATATTTATTTGGCTTCACAAATTTCTCATTCTCTTCATCTTTATTCTTACCTATATTCTACTTTTCCATCCAGATAATTTTCCTTTTGCAATAACAGCTCCTTGTAATATTGTTCTCAGTACAGGTCTGATGATAATGACATGAGATTTGGGTGGGGACACAGAGCCAAACCATATTATTCTGCTCCTGGCCCCTCCCACATCTCATGTCCTCACATTTCAAATACCGTCATGCTCCTCCAATATTTCATTAAAGTCTTAACTCATTCCAGCATTAACTCAAAAGTCCACAGTCCAAAGTCTCATCTGAGACAAGGCAAATCCTTTCCATCCATGAGCCTATAAAATCAGAAGCAAGTTAGTCTCAGCTTTTTGTTTGCCTGAAAATTTCTTTATTTTGGAGAAAATTTCTCTCCACTATGTTTAGAGAATGTAGATATTTTATGTCAATCTGCAGTTAACTAACACTGTGTTCTACAGTAACCCATCTATAAATTCTAAATTCGAGACACTGTATTTTTGGAAGGAAGTATCTGATGATGATTCTCCCCTTTTACCTATTTCATTACACGATTTGCTCATAGTTATTTCACAGCTTTTGTCTGCTGATGTCAATGTCTAAATCATCTATGATTTTGGTTCTTTTCCTTTTTTGTTTTTTTGTCATATGGCACTCTTTCTTAACATGCCCAGTAATTTTTGAACACATGTGAGAAGTAGTGTCTAAAAATTATAGAAGCTCAAAAAGATATTTTCTGCTAGACAGGGCTCCTTCTCCTTTCTTCTCCTGGACAGAGTGGAGTCTGAGTATCTCAAATCTAAGGATATCTGAATTGGACTGAGTTACTGTTTAGACAAAGATCAGTCAATCTCTGATTGGCCTCCATTTCTGAAATATGGTCTGCTTCTTCAGTTTTTTAGTGAAGAAGCTGAAGTATTCTACAGGGTGTGTTCTCTTTGGAGGTCTTGAATTTAATCTACTTTCTCAGCAGAAAATTGTTCTGATTTTCAGATAACCCAAAATACTGTACCCCCAAAGATGTCCATATCCTAATTACCAGAACCCATTAACATGTTATGTTATGTGGCAAGAAGGAATTATGTTTGTTAATCAACTGAATTTAAGATAAGGAGATTATCCTGGATTATTCAAGTGGGCCCAATAATGTAATCACAAGGATTCTCAATTAGAAAAGACGGAGGCAGCAGAGTCAGGACCTGAGTGATACCATGGTAAGACTCAATCAGCCATTGCTGGGTTTTGAGATGGAAGGGATTTATGAGCCAAGGAATGTAGACAGCCTCTAGAAACTGGATGGGAATAAAATATATCCTTCTCTGAACCTGTAAGGAAAGTATACAGCCCTGATACTGTGAATTTAGGTCAGTGAGACCCCTTTATACACTTCTGAACTCCAAAACTGTAAGATAATAAATGTGTGTTGTTTTAACCCACTAAATTTGTGGTGGTTTTATAGCAGCAATAGTAAATGAACACAGAGGTTTGTGGTTTATTTCTTTAGTCTCCCACACATACATCTTCAGCATTTAGAAATTATTTTGATAAGGCAACAGTCCTGGGTATGAGGCACCTGCAGCCTCATACTCTTGCTTTGCAAGACTATTTTTTGCTGTTTTTTTCCTCCTTATGGAGAAGCTTCTACTTATTAGAAGGTCACATTCTTGGCTCTTGCCAGTGTTCAGAATAAGAAGATGCCCTGAGAGGAAGCAGATAGCAAAGCTATCTCATGTGGAATCAGCACCTTTAGTCCTCCTTGCTTCATTAGCTGTCCAGCAACTTTACATATGTGATGTTTGTATTGTATTGACTTCTAAATTGTTTTCAGTTGAGTATTTGTTGTAATCTACTCCATTGTATGAGTTCATTTTCATACTGCTATGAAGAAGTACTCAAGACTGGGTAATTTATAAAGGAAAGAGCCTTAATTGACTCACAGTCAAGCCTCCCTTCATTGCTGGGGATGCTTCAGGAAACTTACAATCATGGTGGAGAAGCAGGTACCTTCTTCACATGGTGGTACAATGGAGTGAGTGCAAGCAAGGGAAAAGTGCAATGCTTATAAAGCCATCAAATCTTGTGAGACTCACTAATTATCACAAGAAAGCATGGGGGAAACTGACCTTATGACCCAATTACCTCCACCGGGCACTGCACTTGACCTGTGGGCATTCTGGGAATTAAAAGTCAAGGTGAGATTTGGATGGGGACACAGAGCCAAACCATATTATTCTGCTCCTGGCCCCTCCCACATCTCATGTCCTCACATTTCAAAATACCATCATGCTCCTCCAATATTTCATTAAAGTCTTAACTCATTCCAGCATTAACTCAAAAGTCCACAGTCCAAAGTCTCATCTGAGACAAGGCAAATCCTTTCCATCCATGAGCCTATAAAATCAGAAGTAAGTTAGTTACCTCCTAGATATAATGGGGGTACAGGCATTGGATAAAAACCCCCATTACCAATGGGATAAATACCCCCATTACCAATTGGCCAAAACAAATGGGATATAAGCCATATGCAAGTCTAAAATCTAATAGGGCAGTCATTAAACATTAAAGTTCCAAAATGATCTCCTTTGACTCTCTGGGCATGCTGATGCAAGAGGTGGGCTCCCATGGCCTTGGGAAGCTCTATCTCTGTGGATTTGCAGAGTACAGCCCCTCTCCATTGCTTTCACAGGCTGGTATTGAGTGTCTGTGGTTTTTCCAGGCACATGGTGCAAGCTTTTGGTGGATCAGCCATTCTGAGGTCTGGAGAATCATTGTCCTCTTTTGATAGCTCCAGTAAGCCTTGTCCTACTGGGGACTCTGTGTGGGATCTCCAACCTCACATTTCCCTTCTTCACTGTCCTGGTAGGGGATCTCCATGAGGGCTCTGCTCCTGCAACAAACTTCTGCCTGAACATCCAGGCATTACCATATATTCTCTGAAATCTAAGGAAAGTTTCACAAATCTCAATTCTTGACATATGATAAATACCCACAGGAGTATTTATCAATGTCATGTGAAAGCTGCCAAGGCTTGGGACTTGGACTCTCTGAAGCAATGGCTTGAACTGTACCTTGGTCCCTTTTAGCCATGGCTGGAGCTGAAGCAGCTGGGATGCAGGGCACCATGTCCCAAGGCTACACAGAACATGGGGGACCTGGACCCAGCTCATGAAATCAATATTCCCCCCTAATCCTCTGGGCCTGTGATGGGAGGGGGTGCCACAAGGTCTCTGCATGCCCTGAAGACATTTTCCCCCTTGTCCTGGTGATTAGCATTCAGCTTCTCTTTACTTATGCAAATTTATGTAGCCAGCTTGAATTTCTCCCCAGAAAATGGGATTTTCTTTTCTACTGCATTGTCCGGCTGCAAATTTTCCAAACTTTTATGCTTTGTCATGTCTTGAACACTTTGCTGCTTAGAAATTTCTTCCATCAGATATCCTAAATCATCCTTCTCAAGTTTAAAGTTTCACAGATCTCTAGGGCAGGGGCAAAATGCCACCAGTCTGTTTGCTAAAGCATAGCAAGAGTCACATTTGCACCAGTCTCAAGAAGTTCCTCATCACTATCTGAGGCCACTTCAGCCTGGACTTCATTGTCTATATTACTATCAGATTTTGATGAAAACCCTTCCATAAATCTCTGGGAAGTTCCAAACTTCCCCACATTTTCCTGTCTTCTTCTTAGCCCTCTAAGCTGTTCCAACCTCTGCCTGTTACCCAGATCCAAAGTTGCTTCTACATTTTCCGGTATCTTCACGGCAGTTCCCCACTACCTTGATACCAATGTACTGTATTAGTCTGCTCTCACACTGCTGTGAAGAAATACCTGAGACTGGGTAATTTATAAAGGAAAGAGGTTTAATTGACTCAGAGTTCCATATTGCTGGGGAGACCTCAGGAAACTTACAATCATAGCAGAAGGCAATGGAGAAGCATGGACCTTCCTCACAGGGTGGTTGGACAGAGTGAGTACAAGTGGGAAAATGCCAGAGGCTTATGAAATCATCAGATCTCATGAGATTCACTCATCACCATGAGAACATATGGTAGAAACCACCCCTATGATCCAATTACCTCAAGTGGTCTCACCGCTGACATGTGGGGATAATGGGAATTACAATTTAAGGTGAGATTTGGGTGGAGACACAGCCAACTCATATCATCCATTTACTATCTGGAGGCAGAATTTCCTTCTGAGCCTTTTTGTCTCAAATGTTTCACCTTAAATGGTTTTCTCCTGTTATATCTTAGAATATACTTCCGTTTATTCTTGTTGTTTCATGAAGAACATTATGTTCTTCATCATTGGCATATTTTGTAACATTTATCATTCTAGAAGAATTTCTAAGTTGTTCTCCTACAACACTGTTATTTCCTTCAATAACATATTTTCATTTTATTATTTAAAGTGTAACATTTAAATCTTCTCTTGCACTATTGTTTCTTCAATAAAAGTGCAAAATTTGGAATAAGGAGTGTGATAGCAAGGCTGGAAATCAGAGGATGTTTACATTATAAACATGTTTTATATCATTGTTAAGTAGAGGCTTGGCATTGGAATGGTTGTAATATTTATGTATCTTTTTCTTATTTGGCTTCACCATTCTACTTTCAAGGCCCCATGTCTGCTTTCCTTGAAAAAGTCATAGCAATCTTTAGAATCAATTTCCTTAAACAGTGATTATTATGTAACCACAAACCCAGATTTTAAAATAATATTAATTTACCTACCCAGTGATTCTTATAAAGCTATAAACAAGCAACAATTCTCAATTCAATTGTTAGGCAGACTTATTTGAATGTTTTACCCCACACCACTGCATTCTATAATCTTCTCTTCCCCAAATGTATTTAGAATTTTAGGTAGGAAAGGAAAGGTTACAAGAATTATTTCAGTAAGCATTGAACATGCTGACAAAGTTCTGGAAGTGTTAGTATCTTTTCTTTTTCCAGATGGAGTCTCATTCTGTTGCCCAGGCTGGAGTACAGTGGTGTGATCACTGCTCACAATTCTCCTGCTTCAGCCTCCAGAGTAGATGGGATTACCAGCATGTGCCACCACACCTGGATAATTTTTTTGTATTTTTAGTAGAGCCAGGGTTTCAGCACGTTGGCCAGGCTGGTCTTGAACTCCTGACCTTAGGTTATCCACCTGCCTCAGCCTCCCAAAGTGCTGGGATTACAGGCTTGATCCACCATGCCCAGCCATACCCCATTTTTTGAACATTTTATGATGCAAGATAGAACAGCTTTTGGCCTTTAATGCACATTAAATAAGACGTACCCTAAAACTGCTTTGAGAGGCACCACTCACATTAATCAAAAATGGTTAAAGTTATTGTAGGGTGAAATACTACTGAATAGGAAAATAACTAAATTTCCATTGTAAGTCTTCTAATTTGGTGACAGCATCTTTTAAACCCACAGCCACAAGTGCCCTTTTCTGCAGTTCATAATCTTTTTTGATATGTTTCTGGTGCTTGGTTGTAGAGTGATTTACTGAGTTTAATGACTTCTCACAACAGAGGATTAGTGTTACCACCTATCTGTAGCAGACTTAAATGTTCTGTACAAGGTGTTATTACTTTGGAGAGATGGTTATCCATTCTTTCATTCCAGGTGAATACAGTACAAGTGATTTAATTATTGTGACCACAACTTTACAGCTTTGCATTGCCTATAGTGCCTTTTTCTTTCTTTTAAAGTTATAAAATTCTGTTGTGTAATTCAGTCAGCTGACTTAGTTTCTAAATGTGTATCAGCCTTCTGGCACTAAAATATTAAAATAATATCATCATTTGACTACATGATAGATTTCACACTGGTGAAGATAGAGACTCACAAAGTTAGAGATCCAGCTGAGACAGTTTGCCGCTCACTGCTTTGATGGAAAACAGTGTCAGGTCACCTCTGTGAACTTCTCTGCACTGCAGAGATCTAACAGGTATTTTCCCCCCACCAAAAAAAGAGACACTTTTATTCCTGGAGTCTTCTACCAAATTCCAACTTGACCTCCTAAAGCTTCTGATGTTTTCAGCCACTTCAGGGGTAGCTAATAAGATAAAGTCATCAATTATAGTCATTTTTTGCTGAATTTTATAGTACTAAATCTCTTGGGTAACAATCTTTTTTAAAAGTTATGGATATTTGATATTAAGTTTTTTTTAATAAAACAAAGTATCATAATAAAATAGGAATTTATGAAATCTTACCTTAAGTAAAAACGTGATTATTCCTTGAAGCTATATCAAAAACATCTCTTATTTTACTTTCAATGTTTTATGGTAATTTTCCAAAACCTGTTTTTTTTTCCTCACTCTGCTCTACAGAATAACTTTAAACTCAGCTATGTTAAGATTTTATGCCACATTTTATTCTTCCAAGTTATTTTGATTAATTCTGTTATCTCTGAATTTTTACTTCAGTATGCTAGACCCATTTAAATTCTAAAATAAAATTAAATACCCTAGAGAAATAAAATTGCTTCACTAGAAGAAAAATAATAATGGGCAGACTTTAGCCTAAGTATCCCGTTATAATTTCCATCCCAAAATACAGCAGGGAAGCTTCATTCACAATGAAAAAAATGACGAGTAGTAGCATCTTAGGATACTGAAGAGGAGAAAATGTTTTTCCAATACATTATTATTTCTCTTCTCATGTGAATATAAACTTATTGGGCCTCATTGAAAGTCTTTCCAACATAGTTACATTACAGGCTTAAGATATTATCCCTCCTTTTTGGGTTCTTATTATACTTGCACTTAGTATAACCAATGACAGTCTTTATTCTAATTTTTGAAGAATCCTTTCTTACATGGGGAGAGAAAGGGAGAGGTTTTTACAAAGGTATGCACATTTCTCTCCTAGGACTAATCCCAAGGGTTGCCTACTCCCAGAGTTCCAAAACAAAAGAAAGTAAAAAAAAAACGAAACTGAATTTGGTGTGCATGTGATCCCGTCATCTGTCTGTAAACAGAATGTAAATCAATCTTTATAGAAACATAAGAAATGATTATTCTTTTACATTTTCCAGTGTCATGGTGTTGCAGCTTTTTCGCTCCTGGGTAAAATGAGTGGGAGGGAGGTTACTGCTCTTTCCCTCCTACTGCAGGAGAGCTTCCAATTCTTGTCCCAAGACCAAGAAGAATAAGATACGTGGACACCAGAGAGTAAGGAATTTTTAAGCAACAGAAAAGCTCTCAGCAAAGAGAGGGGACCCGATGAAGGGTTGCTAGCTGTGGGGCTAAGTTTGGGAATTTTGTGGATTGTGAAGGGGCAGGAGTGCTGTTGGCTGTCTTGAAGAAAGCACCACTCAGAAAGAGGCACCATAGTGTAAAGCACCATGTGGGGCTGAAGTGAAGGCATTGACCTGGGTTCACTCAGAGGCTGAAGTGAAGGCTCTGAGAAAACACTTGCTCTGAATCAGTAGAGGAAAAGGATATATAAAGAAATGTGAATGAGAAAACACATTAATATCTTTCAAAAAAATAAGTCCCTATTATGCAAACACTGAGCTTAATAAACAAAAACAAACAAACAAACAAAAAAACCTCACTCCTTGGAGTTAAAATGTACTCTGCTCTAGTGTAAATGAAGCCTAACAGAAGTGAGAAAGAACCTCATGTATTCTGGAAGCAACGGTATGCAAAAACATCATTGAGGTCCATTGCTACATGATTTTGACTTAGGACTTGTGATTTATTAGATGATTTAACAGGTCTGAGTCTCAGGTTCCTATGTGTAGAATGAATATAAATAATTTCAAATAACAGTGGCTGTAAAGGCATAACAAACTTAATCATGAAAAATGAGGAGTGTTATTATTGTGAAGTTAATGAAAATCCTTATTTTTAACCTTGGCTAAACTGTCACAGAAAAAAACAGAAAGGAACACAACGAAACACATTATACAGAAGGTAGAGTAAATGAAACAGGGAGATTCCCAAACTACTAGAAAACAGTCTTTTGCAATCTCACTCCACAAAACCACATAAGGACTTTAGTCTCTTCAAGCACCTTTTTTACAAATTCATCGAAGCAGAGCACAATCTGTATAATTCTCACATTGCTCAAAGGTGCCCCTCCAAGGATGTTGTAATGATTAATCAACAACCAATTTGATTATCCATTAAAATGTTCTCAATAATGTATATTAATGTATTGGGCAATGAATTCACCAAATAGTAAACAATATGGTGTTTGGCCCGTTCAGTATAATCAGGCACTTTAAAAAATTATTTAACCAAGTAAATGTATCAATTGCAACTCAAATAAAATTATAGCTTAATATTTCTGAATATGAAATTAAAAATTACCTGAGGGAAGATTCTATAATTAGTAATTTAAAATTTAAGTTCAGTAGACTCTTAGTTGGCCTCAATGTCTATTTCTTTCATTTTCCCCTCCTAGTAGAAACTCTGGCTTGTATCTGAACATCTAGACATCCAGGCAAAGACATTCAGTCACCCTTTGCCTGCAGATCACTACTTATGACTAATTTCTAACCAATGAATTTGAAGTTTTATGTGGGAGATTTAGGTATCTTCCACAAAAGGAATTACACATAATCATGACATTTTTTTTTTTCTTAACTTATTCTGCTGCAAGAAAATCAGAAGCCATCTTGGGTCATGAGAACAAGGATCACAGCTTAGGAATGGTGTACCCTGGGCTAGAAGGAGATGGGCTTTTTGAGGGAATAGAGCTGACATGTCAGCCCTATACCCCTATACTGCATATCTTAGAACATTACTTATTCAGACATAAATATACTTCTGTTATTAAGGCACTCTATCATTTAAGCTGTTACTTGCAGAAATTCCTTATCTTAAATTATACTGCATGTTTCTGATATCAGCTTATATTTTATCATTTATCTATCTTATTTTTATCTTGAACATTTCATTTTATCAAAAAATTTGTCTGACAAAAGGCTAATACCCAGAATCTACAAAGAACTAAAGATTTACAAGAAAAAAAACAAACAAACCCATTTAAAAGTGGGCGAAGGATATGAACAGACACTTTTCAAAAGAAGACATATATGAGTCCAACAAACATATGAAAAAATGCTCGTCATCACTGGTCATTAGAGAGATGCAAATCAAAACCACATTGAGATACCATCTCACGCCAGTTAGAATGGTAATCATTAAAAAATCTGGAGACAATAGATGCTGGAGAGGATGTGGAGAAATAAGAACACTTTTACACTGTTGGTGGGAGTGTAAATTAGTTCATCCATTGTGGAAGACAGTGTGGTAATTCCTCAAGAACCTAGAAATAGAAATTCCATTTGACCCAGCAATCCCATTACCGGGTATATATCCAAAGGATTATAAATATTTCTGTTATAAAGACACACACATGCATATGTTCATTGCAGCATGGTTTACAATAGCAACGACCTGGAACCAACCCAAATGCCCAACAATGACAGACTGGACAAAGAAAATGTGGCACATATACACCATGGAATACTATGCAGCCATAAAAAACAATGCGTTCATGTCCTTTGTGGGGACATGGATGAATCTGGAAACCATCATTCTCAGCAAACTCACACGAGAACAGAAAATCAAACACCACATGTTCTCACTTAGGTTGTGGTTGAACAATGAGAACACATGGACACAGGGAGGGGAGCATCACACACTGGGGTTTGTTGGGGGGGACTAGGGGAGGGACAGCGGGGGTTAGGGAGGTTAGGGAGGGATAACATGGGGAGAAATGCCACATATAGGTGATGGGGTTGGAGACAGCAAACCACATTGCCATATAGGTATCTATGCAACAATCCTGCATGATCTGCACATGTACCCCAGAACCTAAATTACTACATATATGTATATAGTATATACATAGTATATAGTATATATAGTATATTATATAGTATATATATTTATAAATATAGTATATATATATACTATATATAAATTCCCTTTTAAAAAGTTTTTGTGAACTTAGCTACCAAATCATTTGACTTATTATGCTTCAAAAACTACTATGTTAAAACAGAACCACCTATTTATGGATCCTATTACTTATGTTTACTTATAGCAATCCAGTTAGATGTTTAGTATTTTCTTTTTGGATATTTTTTATTGCAGTTTAGGTTTTGAGGTACATGTGAAGAACATGCAAGATTTTTGCATAGGTACACACATGGCAGTGTGATTTGGTGTCTTCATTTCCATCACCTATATCTGGCATTTCTCCCCATGCTATCTCTCCCCAACTCCCCACTATCTGCTATCCCTCCTCTGTTCCCCCCAACAGACCCCAGTGTGTAGTGCTCCCCTCCCTGTGTCCATGTATTCTCACTGTACAATGCCCACCTGTGAGTGAGAACATACATGCAGTGTTTGATTTTCTGGTCTTGTGTCAGTTTGCTGAGAATGATGGTTTCCAGGTTCATCCATGTCCCTACAAAGGACACAAACTCATCGTTTTTGATGGCTGCATAATATTTCATGGTGTATATGTGCCACATGCATTGGCAACAAAAGCCAAAATAGACAAATGGGACCTAATGAAACTCCACAGCTTCTGCATGGCAAAAGAAACAGTCATTAGAGTGAATCGGCAACCAACAGAATGGGAAAACATTTTTGCAGTTTACCCATCTGACAAAGGGCTGATATTCAGAATTTACAAAGAGCTAAAAGAGATTTAAAAGAAAAAAAAAAAAACAAGCCCATTTAAAAGTGGGCAAAGATGTTTAATATTTTTAAGGGAAATGTGAATTTTCACGTTCTAAAGATACCTACATTATATCTGCGTATGTATCATATATAGTGATTTTAATAACCCCACTCTACTAGGGAATAGTTACCAACACTTCGTTTCCTAATTTTCTTTATAAGCATACATTTCCCAAGTTTGGCATGATTGTGGTGAAGATAGTTATTGTTCTATATTCCCATGAAGTGGAAAGATTAGAAATAAATTATTAACTTAAGGCTACTACTTTCAAACTTTTATTTATGTAATGCATATAATTTTATTAAATATTTGAGGTCTGAGTCATTAAGCAGATAATCACTTAAGTCAAAAGAAAAAAAATCAGACTCCTTATTTAGGCTGTTAGCTAATCAATGTTTGAGTGAAAACAAGCAAAGAGAGGCTGTGAACAAGATGTTGGAAATGTTTAGTCTCTGGGCTGTGCAGGTACCGTTTGGTAAGTGGGGATAATGAAAAGCTAAGTGGCGAACAAAGAAGTAAGGCGAGTAGTTTGGCAAACGGTGCTTAAAGAAGAGAAATTGTTGAGTTATTTTTTTCCTTTGACATTTTATAAGTACTATTGAGTGGGTGTATGGAAAAGCATATTTCCAGTCTATATTTTCTGGCTACCTCTTGTGAAATTAAGAAAATCTCTGTTAAGACAAAGTGGCAGCTCCATCTGTTACCGTCCCTCACTAAATAAAACCTGCATCACAGGATCATGGTGTGTAAGCAGGGCTAATATTACTTGAGTATGATACCCAGAAAGAAACTTGCATGGAACATTTCTAAACATTATTCTTGGATTGTAATGAGAAAGACAGTGTCTATAAATATTGCTTATTACTCTTAAGAAGAATTTTTCTGACAAAGTATTTCTCTTTTTCTTCTTGGTCCAGGTAGTCTAAAATATATTGTTGCATGCTTTGGATCAGTTTTGAACCTTGAGGAAGAGATACATCATCATACTGAAAGATAAAACATTAATTACCTCAGTTTACTTATTTATCATCATGCAAATAACATTTTACTGTCTCAGAAAATTTATTGTCTAATCTTGACTCATATAGTGTTTGCTAAAATACATATTTAAATACACAGTTTACTGTAGCTGATTTGTCAAAGAAGTAATATATTAACTTCCTGTTGGTATTGAGTGCTCCGATGAGCTGTGGGTATAATTACCACTGAAAATAGTGATTCCAAACAAGATTCCTAGCAAGAAAACAGGAATCTTTAATTACTATTTTCAAGGAAAGAAAGTGCTGCCGACAGTTACTTCCGTGAAGATAGAGACCTTAAAGAAAGGCCAGGAAGAGTGAGAAATACCTGAACCAAATATAAACATGCTTTTCTGTTACTATATCCCAGCACTTCAAAAAGTGAAAATTAGCAATGGCTAACGGCTATGAAAGAAAGACCCAGAAAAAGGACACTGTAGAAATTGTGGTTGACACGAAGGCAGAGTTTTAAAAGATCATTCAATTTTAAGAGGAGGATAAAGGTTTGTAACCAGAATGACTTTATTATCATAGTACTTGTATGTGTGGTGAAAGACGTTTTAAAATTAGACTGTGGACTTGTAACTAGCCCGGGCTTTTCCTACGGCTAGATGGGAGCAGTCAGTTCTGGTGTTTTGTTCACTCCAGGGTGAATATGGCTAACAATAATTTAGTGCATGTTTTCCAAAAGCTGAAAGCTAAAGGAGACTATTGAATATCACAGCAGGAAGGAATGATAATTGTTTGAGGTGATAAAGATCATAATTACCTTGATTTGATCATTGCATATTGTAGCCATATAGTGAAATATCACTCTGTATCCCATAAATGTGTACAATTATGATGGGTCAACTAAAAAGGAAAAAGGTTAACAACAGAGTAAATTTTAATTCCTTTGCTAACTCTATCCTGCTGTGCTCTACTCAGCCTGATCTTCCTTACAGAGCTTATAGGGAAAGGCTCTATAGCCTTTCTCACCTAGCGGCCTTATTTTTACCTCTCGGCTAACTGAAGTTGATTGAATCAAAGGGAAGATATACGTCTGGCTTCTATAACGTTCTGGTGCATTTTTTTCTTTCATGAAACATAAATATAAAAATTTTAACCAAGCTCCTCGGAGAAAAGAAAAAGGAGGTGAAAGATTGATTTGCGAGAAGCTGATGAGGTGAGCTGGCAATGATAGGACCATTTACTTTAAATAGCACTGACTGAATTCTTAGAATGGAAATGACATGGTTTAGACCACCAGTACTTCAGGAATTTCTGCCTTTAAGGAGCTAGCAATTCCCTGAAAGGAAAGATGTATAAAGAAAATATTAAATGCAACAACTTAAGTATTACATAAGCTGAAGAAACAGAACTGGCCTGCACAGGATTCCCCTGAAAGTCCACCAAGGGGATATACACAGACTTCTTTCTGAAAGAGAATTACATCTGGGCTAATCTTACCAGAAGACTCAGGAAAGAATTAGGAAATGGATATTCCAGGCAGAGGTAATGAAATAGTCACCGGGTGTGTAATGAGAGGAGGAATTCTAGAGTTGACAAGTTGAGTGAGGAAGTATTGGAATAATCCAGATACGATAATATTGAGAACCAGAACTAGCATCTTGTTAATTTGGATAGAGAAGAGAGACTAGATATGAGAAATTTGGTCTAAATAAAACTATAAGATCTTACAAATTGATGAGTGTAAATAATAAACAGTTATCTAGGATGACGTCTCTCTTTTGTAACAGTTTAGATTGCAGTGCCAGTATATGAGATAATATTCAAGTGTGTAATTCTGGAGGGTAAGATGAAGTGAACCTGTTGAACTGGAAGTATCTGGAGCACTTCCAGAAAGATATGTCCACGAAGCACTTTCATATGCAGATATGAAATCCAGATGCTAGATTAAAATTAGATGCAGATATGAATGTTACTAGCATATAGTCTTTTTAAAAAATATGACAGTAAAAAAACGTCACCCAGAAGAGAATGAAGATTTAAAAACAATGAAGACTCAGTGAGCAGAAATGAGTCATGGAAATCAATACTATGGAATGGTGGGAGGAAGAGGGAAGGTGACAAAGGAAACTAAGAATAAAGATCAAATAGATTGGAAGAAGGATTAAAAAAATATTGTATCACAGAAGAAAAGGGTGTAGAATCTCAGAGTGAGAAAAGATCAATAGGGTGAAATGCAGCAATGAGATCATTGCAGAACGAGGACAGAAAAGTGTCCGGTGAATACAAAGATACGAAGATTAATGGTCCAGGTTGCCAGAGGAGTTTCAGTGAAATGATGGGAGGGTGCTGGTAATGAACTGCTAAGAGAAGAGATTGAATATCGGCAGCATTTTCAAGATAATTGGCTGAGACGGAAAGGAAAATGAGGAATAATGCCCTGTTACAGAGGACACAGTCTGCTTGGAGGTTCGTACTAGAGCCCCTGAACTTCTTGGTAATAATCACTCTGGTTTTTATTTTATGAGTGAAATATTTTCATGTTAGTAAACTAACTATTTACATGTTAGTGCATTAATGTTACTGAACATTAAGTTTTAGGATGAATTTTATTATTAATTGATACTACTGTCTCCCCAAATTCATATTAATGCATTATTCTTAGGTCTTTATAATAAAATTAGTTCAGCTGTACTGATTTAATTGATACACTACTTGACTTAGAAATAGTAACTTAAACCATGCTTTTATTTAAGCACATTACCAACCAAGAATGGTATAATTTTAGCAAAGGTGTTTATTTTATTGTATATGCACACAATGCAAGGATTAAGAATACAGCAATTAAACTGTCATGGCATTTTCCGATTTGCCCTTAAAAAATATGCAAATCACGTTGTAAAAGCACATTTTAGGTGATGTAGAAAGAAATAAAAATATCATTAGTTACATAAAGCTTAAAG